TGGTCGGGGCCCACTGGGGACAGGGGCAGGTGTCCAGAGGGGCCGCACCACACACTGGGAACAAGCCACCACACCTCACTGCCTCTGGTTCCTCACCTACGAATGCCAGGAGACACTGGCCACTTCAAGCAATGGAGGCCAACCTGGCTCAGTGCCCATCACACCACAGGCTTGCAACAGGGGAAGCTGCTTAGTGACGTACAGATCAGATGTGATGGCAGCAGGAAGACACAGCACAGAGTGGACAGCACCCAGGGGGCCAGAACCCAAGGTTCCCCCATAGGCTGCTCAATAGGCCTGAGCCCAGGTGTCACTGTGTCTCTGGTGTGCACTGGGCCTTGGGAAACCACATCTTTCCAATTCCTCTCCTAGAAAATGCCCCTGGTGTTTTCTGCCCCTGTCTACCTGATGACAAGGTAAAGGCAATCCATAGGCACAGAAGTCAACAGACTGCCCTGGCCTAGTCTGAAATCAGTGACAATTTGACAGCCTCACTGCTGACCAGCTGGGGGCTAAGGGCAAGTGGACTCCTCTCTACTTTGTTATCAGTTCTGTGAATAGGGAGCTCCCCTCAAAAGGACTGAGGATTAGGGGAAACTATGAATTTGCTTATCTATGTATATAATGTTTCTAGATTTTATCTTCATGAATACGGATAAATACAATTTATATATAAATAATCATGATATAAATGAAATTATGCAACTGATTAATAACCACCCTTGTCCAAACATAAAGCATCAAAAATCATCCATTTCACTCTTGACCAGTCTGGGCAGGGCTCAGTGGAAAGAGCCCCTCACTGCATCAGGAGGCATCTGCGGAGACAGCCCGGCTGGGGCTGGGGGACCCAATTCCAAGGCAGTGCACCCACAAAGCTGATGAGGCGGTCATGTTAGTCCCTCTCTGAGTGGGTCTGGCCTGGGACAGCCTGGGCTTCCTCACAGCACGGTGGCTGGACTCTATGAGCCAGTGTTCTAAGAAAAGGCCGCAGTGGCCAGTGTCTAAGCCACCTCTTACAAGCCACCAGTGCCACTTCTGTGTTAACCAGGCTGTCCCAGAGCCCAGAGCCAAGGGGGTGGGCACAGATCCCCTCTCTCTACAGGAGTGTCAAAAAACCTTTGGGATCACATTTTTACAAATTCCACAGCATTTCAAACAGCTCGATAGTGAGTACCAGGCTGGCTGTCAACTGGCTCTGGTAGGTAAGAGCACATGACTCTCGAGGTCAGGGCTGTGACTTCACACCCCAAGTTGGGTGCCGGGATTACTTTTAAAAATCTTAATAAAACAGCTAAATAAATCTGGGCTATTATCAGGAGGGAAGTGTCAGCAGACAACATAAGCCAATGTAGGCTGAGGATGCAGTCTTCTCCCTCACCTGTTGGGGAGAGGGAGGGAGGGGTCAGATGGGTTGCACCCAATTAAGACTGATGTTGAGAAATGACTTCAAGTTCATCTGCACAATAGTCTCCTCCTCCTGCTTTTATGCATGGGGTTCTTGATTTTGAAGGCTTCCCTGGGACCCCAACCCCCTAAAAATTGTTTTTGAAAAATGACTAGAGTCCATGGTCCTTAAGTTTCAGGAATATCTATTCTTTTTGGAACACTGGTTGGAGTCAACCTGGATAAAGGGGAAGTATAGCAACCCTCATTTATTTCTTCAGGGAACAGAGGGTGGAGACCCAGAAGACATTTTGAAAGAGTCCTCTGCAAGCCAGGTGCTTCCTGGGGCCTATGGGGTAATGGAGATGAGAATATGGGGCAATGTTCCCCAGGAAGATTAGAGGTGGCAAAGGGAAGCAGTCATTTTTGCACCTCCAGCAGAAAGACAAAAAGCTCCACGATCAAGGGCTCAGTAAGACCATCTGGCCTTGGTTCCTGAAGTGCAGCATGAAGGTCTCCCGAAGAGGTCTGCTGGGGTGGCATGCAGGCCTCAGGCTTACCACCGCTAGACCTGGTTACCGCTTCTCTCTGCTGCTCTCCCCCAACATCTCTCCCTCTCTAGTATCCTGTGGCCCCATGCCAACTCCTTGTGGCTTCAGGTGTGCGGTCTCCTCTTGGGCACATTTGTCCTGAGCCTTCTTACCTGCAGTCCCGTGTCAACAGGTTTCCTTCCCCTGATGTGTCTGGAGTGAGGCACATGGTGTCTGGAGGATGACTACCCAGGTCCCAGGGAGAGTGGGAGGACGGGAGCAGCTGGGCTCACGGGCCAGATTTTTATATAAGCTAGTGTTTAAGAGGCTATTTGCTGCATTTGGCAGCATTAAAAAAATACCAACTATGTAACTGCATAAAATGCACTGGTTGCTCTTACTACTCAGGAATATTCTTCAGAAAGCTTGCTGTGGACATCCCCACCAAAATCTGACATTCCAAGGGGGAGGGGGAGTAAATGAATAAATTCTTTAAATTGTTTTTTTTTTTTTTTTTAATGATGCTCTTCCCTATCCCAACACTGTAGATGGGACAATACATTCTCCTGTATTACCTCCAAATTCTTTCATAATTCCTGCTTAGATATCCAACTCGTCTGGAATTTACCTCTATGTGCAGGAGGATTTAGGAACCTGAGTGCTTCCTTCGAAGCAGCAGCTGGTAGGTCTCATTCCATCCTACAGGAGTCCTTCCTCCCTCTGCACTCTCTTGTCCCAGCTTCCCACCTGCTTCAGAACTTTCTTCTGCCTCACTGCTGCACAAACTCATGGAGAGCATGCTGCTGTAGGTTCTGGCCTCCGAGGGCAAAGCCCCTTCCCTTGCTCCTGCTCACTCACTGCCCACTCACAGGAGCTCCCTGAACACACACTGCTGGGTTCTGGCAGGGATACAACGTCTCACTACAGGGAGAACTATTACCTTTAGAATACTGGACTCCTCCAGCTGGAACATAGCATGTCCTTTTACTCAGATCTTTCCATTTTTTCAGGAAGTTTCATCGTTTTATCCATCTGAGCCCTGAACAGCTCATTAGGTATATTCTCAAGTACCTAACAGTTTTTGTTGCTACTGCGTTAAAAAGTTTCAGTAAGTCACTGAAAAGTCAAATCTTTCTTCAGCTAAAGGAAGTTTTAACTCCTCTCCCTTCATTTCACACTTCTCTGTTCCCTGTGCACTGATGTCAGAAAGAATCAATCACATGCCTTGATCTTCCAACTCACTGTATGTGCTTCTATCTGCCTTCAGCTGGACTGTCTGCTTCATTTCTAAGAACTGAGTATTTTCCTTACCAGTTTATTCTCTTTTTAGCAGGTTAAGATTGCCTTCAAATCACCTGATTCCTGTACTGGTATTCCTACAAGGGTCCCCAACTGACTGGGGACTCTGACACGTGCCCGTTTGCAGAGGCACCCCTCTGAGAGAGGGCACATGTGCCTTACTAGACAGGCCAGGCTCCATGCTGCCTCTTACAGTGGGGGTTTGAGTGGCTGTGGCAGCCTGGTCTCTCGTTCTCTAGCCTTCTTGCTGGAGGACTCCTTTCTTCTGTACATCACATCTTCTAGTATAAATTTCAATGTCACACCATGTATTTGTACATTTAAAAAGTATCTTATCCTGCTCGAGATCTGAGCAGAAAAGGGCAAAAAATGTACTCAACTTTTTCAGAGAAACATGGAAATTGTTTCCCCAAATTTTTCAGGAATACAGAGCAGATGTGGCCTTAAACTTGTTTCATGGAACAAATCTTTTCATACATGCTCTTCCTTCACCCTTCATGTGTCAGGTCCTTCTATACTGACACAGCCTTTCAAAGGTCCTGTGTTGATCTGCTTTCTGTTTATTACCAGTATGTGGATTGCATGTTTTCCAGAAACTGGCTAAGTGGTTTCTCCTCAGGTTTTGCTTTTTCATTGTGTGGTCATACATTTTCAGATCCCAAATGGGAGGGACTGCTCCTAGTTCACCAATCTAGTCACTCAGGGGCTGGGCCACAGCTTCTCAGGCCAGGGAACATAGGCTGTGTATGCCTTCCTCTGTCCTGGGAGAAGCCCGTATGCCAGGGTGAGACCACACCATACCCAGCCTCCTCTGAAGCAGAAATGGCTGCTTTTCTGGGGTCTTTGTAGAGGGTGTGCTCAACAGAACCCCTTCAGAAACATGCTCTCCTGCAAGCTCAGCACTGCTGCCTTCCTTGCCCACTTCCACTGGTCTCGACACTTATGACACTGTCACCTGGGAAGTGGCTCCAGGGCCATCACCACCATTACTGACACTCAAGTCTTGGGAACAAACTGCCAGATCACGGAGCAAGTGCCTTATACTCTGAGTGCTCATCCTAGAGGCCCTGAGAGACTGTTACTCCCAGGCTGTCCACGACAGGAGGAGGAGAAAAGGCGTGCAGGCCGGTACGTTTGGGATACCTACATTTCAGGCACTTGGATCTTGGATTTTGCTTATACTAAACTATTTCCCACAAATATAAAAACAATGAACTCATTCAGATAATTTGTGTATCAACACATCTAGAATTTTCTGGCTGCAATGGACTGCAAAGCCAAGTAAGCTGGCCTAACTGGGAAGGATGACTTAACAGACCCAGGCAGGCTGGGTTTGGTGGGACACACTCCCATTGCTGTGATCAGGAGTGCTCTTCCCTCTCTTGGCTCTGATGCATCCATCCTCGGTGCCCATTTTTCATGGGTTGCTGTGTATTTACCAGGTGCCCTCGCAGCTGGGGTGCAGTGCAGAATGAACAAGATACCAACAGACTCATTTCCTGATCTCCCGGAGTACTATTCTAATGGTGTAAGATCAATGAAAAAAAAGCCAACAAGGACTGAACAAAAACATGTGAAATACAGGAAAAAATTATGAAAAAAAGAAACAAGGCAACCCCCGCCCCCCAAAATCCAAAAAAACGTGAGGAGTTAGATGAGGAGATTCCGACTCTGATGTCTGAGCTGAGCACCAGTGACAAAACAAAAACAGCCACATGGACAAGACAGATGATTCTAGTAGAGAAAAGGGGGCCCAGAAGCCCGAAGGAAAGGTGCTGACCTGTCTTCAGATATTTCTGCTCTTCATTTTATTCACGATGTCTAGGGAAAGGAGTCTACGCTTAATGAGCAACCTAAGGGCAGACTTACTTTCTGACACCTCTACGGTATTTTCATTGTAAAACCAAAGAGAAAACGCTTTTACAAAGGGTGACAGTGCCTCAAAGTTTTCTTGAAAGCATATGCAAGGTATACCCTCTTGAGGTAGGACTATATGCTTAAAACATGCTCAGTAAGACCCTCTGATGAGAAAATTAAAATTTCAAACACATATACATTAAAAAAAAAAATAGAATCTCTAACTCAAACGCTTACTTTGACTTTCTGCCCAGGATCAACTGCAAAAGCACTTCGGATTAGAAAAAAATAGTTTAGCCAAAATCCAGTTTTGTTTTTTAGGAACAAAGAACCAGAGGGAAAAAACCCCAAGAAACATCAGGCATTAGGCAAATCAGTGTGAGTGTCTCTGTCACTATCTGTGATGTAAATTGGGACAGCTTTCTCCATGACCAGTACCTCCAAGGTAGTGCAGAGCACAGGGTATTCACCCAGAGATGGAGGGAGGATGGGAAGGCAAGGAGGGCATAGTAATGACACTAGCATTGAGCTGTGACAAGCAGTTTACACTCAGGGGTCCATACTTCTTGGCTTCTGTGATTTGATTACAGCTCTCCCCCTGCAGTCATAACAGGACAAGGATCCAAGAATAGCAGGGCGCTCTACTAGGGCCTCCTCCTTTAATACCCCCTCCTCCAAATCCAGAGCACAGGCACTCCTAACCACTGTCGCCATTTACTCACTTGTTCATTGCCCATTCGGTCCCCTGCAGCCCCTGAACTATCACCACACAGAAACCAGAATAGCTCTAACACCCAGCAAGCAGGCTGAAGGGCCCAGACAGAGCAGGGCCTGGACATTCTGGTGGTACACTACTGGCTACTTTCCTACTCATCAGCCCGTCCCAGGCAGAAGAGAAGGCTGAGACATCCTGGCAGGGACTGGGCCCAAAGGAGCTCACACAGCAACACTCCGCCAAGTCCTGCTGTAAGGCCCCTTAAGTTCCACGGGGACCAGAGCAGAACATAGTCACAGGTCAGAGACAGCAGAACGACGGTCAGGGTGTGGCTCCTCTGTGTGGCTGCCTGTCAGGTCACTGGCCCTCTGCTGTCTGCCATCCTCAAGGTGGCACCACCCAGGTGCAAGCCCTGCAAGCAGGGGAGAACCTGCTGGGTTGAGATGGGCACCTGATGGAGGAGGAAGGCCCTGAGCTGTGGCCCCTGCCACGTGAGCCTCTGGGGGACTGGAACCAGTTCTCAGAGGGCTCTCTTCAGCTCACTCACTTGGGCATCCCAGGGAAGGTTCCCAATGTAAACAGTGTTAGAAGGCCTATCCTCCTCCCCCTGCACGGAACAGGATTCCGGCTGGTGTGGGTTTGGAGGTCTTCTGACAGCACTCAGCGGTACTGGCTGCTGGTTCCAAGAAGGTGCTGGGGCTCATCCTGAAGGGTGACATCTTTCCCAGCCCGCCTCTCTCGGTCACGAAGGCTTCTGAGTATTGGGATTTTCCTCATCATCTCACAACTGATCTGAAAAAGCAAAGCAGTTTCAGTTATTCTTCAGTGTCCAAACTTGGTCAGGAGGGAGGAGAAATCAGAGGTGCAAAGGGCCTCTGCCACATTCCTCATGTAAGCAGTCTCCGCCACACTGCACCAGTGTTCCAAACTGGCCCTTTGGGAAGGACCTCTGTCCCCACACTGGCCTACCTTAAGTGAAATCTGGGAAACCCAGCCACTTTGGATTGTCCACTCTGGACTATGCCTCATGTGCCATGGTAGATGGCAGGAAAGGAATGGTTTTCTCTATCCTCCTAAGGCCCAGGAAGCAGAAAACCAAAGCCTTCCTATGCAGAAGGGACAGTAGGTAAGGTTATTGGAAAGAGGGTTGCATGGTCATAAGAGGCAACTCCGGTGGTGGCCTCCAAAATTATGCGGCTGTCTGCCTCCATGCCTGGCCCTCCTCCCAACTTATGCCTTTGGGTGGGATTGACTTGGGCCTCCTCCCCGCCACTCCTCCACTGGAGGAGCATGTCTCAGGGACCAAACCTTTCAAACTGTCATCGAAGATGCAGAAACAAGGCAAATGTGAACTAGGATGCTACTTTTGAAAATGCTTTCTAGCGACAGGTTATCAAGCTACAAGATAATACCACACAAAACATGAAGTCTCAGTGAATAGAATTCCTATACGAAGGACGTTTGGCTTTTTGGGAACCTGAAACAAAGGAGGTGGTTGGAAGAACCCCAATATGTGAGGCGGTTTCCCGTCCTTGAGAACTGGGATCGATGGGTGGGGCCTGCATGCAGAGGAGCTGCCTTGATCTAGCTTGCAGCATGGACGCTGATGGTCCCAGCCCAGTGCGACAGCCACAAGGGGGATGGCCCCATGGGTTAGGCAAGCCTGGAGAATGGAGGCCAGGTCTTCTGTCACTTGAGGAGTCACATGGCAGAAAAGACACAGAAACACACTGTGTTAGTCCTTCTCAGCAATCCTATTCTTCAGAGATGCTCTCTGTCCTGCTCTAGGGCACAAAACCCATAAACGGCCCATTACCAAGAGGCAGGTGATGGTTCAAACATGGGACTTCCCACAAACACAGGTACATCAGAACACAGATCAGTACATGAGTTAGACAGATAAAACTTTACTCCAAAAACAAATAGCTCAGGGGTGCTTGGGTGGCTCAGTCGGTGAAGCTTCTGCCTTCAGCTCAGGTCATGATCTCAGAGTCCAGGGATAGAGCCCTGCATCCACTCCCTGCTCAGTGGAAAGCCTGCTTTTCCCTCTGCCCCTCTCCTCAACTCATGCTAGCTCTCGCTGTCTCTCAAATAAATAGAATCTTTAAAAACAAAAAAGAACAAAAAATAAACGTCAATAGCTCAACTAGTAACAATGTTCTGGTTATATTCAGAATCATATGTAACTAGAGTAATGGTTCTTATCCTTGGCAGGGTGTCAGAGACCTTTGAGAGAAGCTGGGGTTCCTTTTGAAGAACAAGTCCCCAGCAATTCTGTGCGCAATTTCCCAAACTCTATTCATGTATCTCCAAACCACAAGAGGTACACAGGCCTCAGGTTAAGGACCAATGATTTACAGGAAGATTCAAAGAAATTCAAACACCTAAGAACAGTGGAGTACCTTCTCATACACTTCAAGGCTCCTGATCCTAATTTACTATCCGGTTCTCTCTTCCAGCACTATGTTGGCAATCCCCTCCACCTTGGAACAGCCCTTCCACTGGGTCAGAACCCTCTGCAAATGGGTGGCTGCTCCGAGGCTCGGTCCTATCAAAAGCCTCTGCAGGTGGCACTTGTCCACTTGGGGTCTTCAGAGTAGCACGAAGATGCCTGGCTGCCATAGAGAGACTGCTCAAAGAAAGACCTGCTCCTTCTAGCATTTCCCATTACTGAGATGCAAACAAAAACCATGTCCATGCCATGGAGGTATGTAGGAGATGTAACTACTTTTTTCTAACCCAAAGGAAGTATTCTTCTACTTGACTCTCTGTAATTCTTTTGAACTGATTTATTGAAAGATGACTAAGCTCATGGGCCAGTACCTAAGAGGCTCTGTTACCAAAGAATTCTGAAGATGATCTAAGTCCAACCAAACCAACTCCTTCCCACACCCTCATTCTACCTTCTTAAAGAGTTCAGATTCTTGTGTCCTTTCAGAAAGCAGAAAGCCTGCTTCTCCCTCTGCCCCTCTTAACTTATGCTAGCTCTCGCTGTCTCTCAAATAGAATCTTTAAAAACAAAAACAAAAAAGAACAAAAAATGAAAGTCAATAGCTCAACTAGTAACAATGCTGAAATACATTTGATTTCAACAACGTTGAAATACGTAACAACTCTGAAATACCTTTCAGAGTATTTCAAAAACAGATATACACTAGTCATAATTAGATTCTTGTTTTAAGTAGGCTCCATGGGACTCAAACTCACAACCCAGAGATCAAGACTGAGCTGAGACCAAGAGTCAGACACTTAACCAACTGAGCCACCCAGATGCCCCTAAAATGGTCATAATTAGATTCTTAAGGATGTCTTAAGTTACTAGATCTAGTATTTAGAAAGGATAATCAAATTTAAAATTGCAATTACAATCAGAACATATGACTACATACTCTTAGGGGAAAACTGAACGTCATTCTGCTGTGACACCAGGAGACAGGAGCAACAAGGCCAAAAGCCTTGGTACACATTGCGCTTTCCCCCAGCACTTGGACCTATCTTGGCTGGGTGAGCACCCCAAATACTAAAACTCCCATGTGCTTCTGCCTGGTGGAACCACAGGGTTTCCTCAGGCCAAAGCAAGTGTTCTCAGGAAACCCAGCCCACAGGGCAAGGCTCTACACTCATGCAACAGAAATCCATTTAAAACATGTCGTGTGAAGCAAAATTACATCCTTCTCTGCACATCACAGGAAACTACTTTATCCCAAGCTGGCACATGGACAAACTATAATCAGTTGAATAACAAATAGGCTTTAACTGCACAGATTATGAACTAAGTCTATAGCACTGTCACACTCACACACACACACACATTTTCTCTCTCTCATACACACACACATACAATCTTTAGAAATGGAAATACCAAATGCATCACTTTTATGTAAAATTGCTCATCTCAAAGGCAGGATGTTTTTTGGGTAAGGAATGACAAAGCTTACTGTCAGCCCATGCTTCTGCGCCCACAAGTTCTAAGTGGAAAAATCTTCCTGTCTACGAGGTGGCTTTTGCCAGTTTCCCAGCTGTTGGCCATTTCTGTGTGCTTTGCAGAGTGGCTTGGGCTGATAGTTGTCCCACAGCTGACGCAGAGGCTACTGAGCACCAACTAGACAGGCTGGCTTCACGCTCAGGCTATCCACAGGAGGGCTATGCTGTTTTTCCTGGCTGGTAATTAGGAACATTTGTTACATTCTGTAAGTGTGCCATATGAAATGAAAGATTTTGCCCATTAATCAAAAATAAAAAAATATGTCTGCTTTTCTATAATCATTCCATTAAATAGTATAGAGCAAATTTGATTTTTTTTTATATGCTACAACCACTCTTTGATGTTTACAAATGTCATTTATACATACATATTCTCTTTAAAGATTAAATAATACTATCCCCTAGAAATACAGATCAGAAATCTAACTCTCAAGGTACCAGTGGCGAACCCAAAAAGAGACTCTGGTTCTAATCTTGCCTCTACCCCATTGACTTCACAATTTTGGACCTGTTGCTTTTCCTGGCTCTCACTTTACTTGACCACAAGATACAGAGACTGGGAAGGATGATCTTTATGAATCTCTCATTCTAAAATGCCAGGACATGTTTGAGCAGCTGCTGGCAAAGAAAGAGGAACATTGTTAAGTATTTCTAAAATGTGAAATACAACTTCCACAAAAATTATCAGTTGTCTTGCATGAGACTAACTTATTATTCATTGACCAAAAATACTTTTAGATACAATACTTTCAAATGATCAAGACGAAGTCATCCTATACAGTAAGCATGCAAGAATATAAGAGAGCCAGTGACTGTACTGTCTTCCAGATGGCATTCATGCCTTCCAGCATTTGTTTGCTTTCTAATTATAGTGTTTCTTAATGATAATAGGGCTCATTTAAGACATCTTTTTGCACATAGTGGATGAAAGACGTCACTTACCAATCAAAAAGAGCCCACAGCATTACTCCTTATGCTTTTACTGTGGGTACTGAAGGACCAGCAGGGCAATGACCATACCATCATTCCATCATGTGGAATGATGGAATGATTCCTCCATCATTCATCATGTCCATGATCAAGGAGGTGGTTCTATCTGGGAGTGGCCATGGAGGCCACTAAGAACTATTGAGTAAAAAAACTGCTTATTTTCTGGTGTATATATAATCAACTCAAAACCTGTGCCACAACATGCCAGTTTCCATCTGCAAACCACAGTTCCTGCCTGTCCTGTGCTCTCCAGGGGGAAGGGGACAGCACAAGAGCAGTGAGGTCCCCTCCCACTAGGCCAGTTCAGAGCTGTGTGTTGGACGAGTACATGTCTGGCAGCTCTAGGCTCAGTTCACACCCAAGTGTTAGCCACATGGGGAAGAGTGGCCCATACCGCCCACCTCACACACAGGTATATGCTTTGTACAAACAGCTTGGATAGTACCATGTTACTGCCTTGCACAAGCACATGACTTCTAAGAAATAGCACATATTTAACTATCTTGCATCTTGGGTTCTAATTTTTACCATCTGGGAGTGTGCAGAGAATGGAGGCTCTTTTGGAACCAGAGCCAAACATGCATGGGGCAGAAGGTTGCCCTTGGAAAATGGTTTCAAATGTCCTGTTTTCTCTACTGAACAGTGTTGACTATAAAAGTGTGTATTTGCGGTGGGAAATTTAGAAAACAATGAAAAGAAATCTGAAATCTCAGCTTGCAGAGATTACTATTAATATTCAGATACACTTCTTCGTTTGAGGGGGGTGGAGAGGGAAAGGGAGAGAATATCAAGCAGGCTCCACCAGCCAGTACAGAGCCCAACACCAGGCTCAATCTCACGACCTTGTGGTCATGACCTGAGCCGAAACCAAGAGTTAACATTTAACCAACTAAGCCACCCAGCTGCCTCTCCATCTTTTTTCTACACATGTTTTAGCATAATGAGAATATAAAATGCTATACTAAATACATATTTATATTCTACTTCTTCCACTTAATATTTATTATACCATAAGCATTTTCTCATGCCATTAAATACTCTTTAAAAAGGCTGTATGAAAAAAAAAAAAAAAAAGGCTGTATGAGGGATCCCTGGGTGGCGCAGCGGTTTGGCGCCTGCCTTTGGCCCAGGGCGCGATCCTGGAGACCCGGGATCGAATCCCACATCGGGCTCCCGGTGCATGGAGCCTGCTTCTCCCTCTGCCTGTGTCTCTGCCTCTCTCTCTCTCTCTGTGACTATCATAAATAAATAAATAAAAATTAAAAAAAAAAGGCTGTATGCACTTAGATTACAGGGTTGGCATTTGGCTCCCTGACCCACTTTAAGGCACTGCATTATACTGAATACACATGCACTTCTATCTGAATTTATAAATATTTCTTTAGGACAGATTCCTAGAAGTTCAACTATTAGATCAAATACAGTAAATCTTTTAAATTAGAAGTATCATCCTTCTAACTTGTTGACCCAGTTGTGGGAGCTGTCAGCTCACATTTGGCTGTAATTTCGACAAAAGTGTTGATGGGGGATTGGAAGGCAAGTACTGATGTCCCAGAATGGCTGTTCCTCACAAAAGAGGTCCTTTCCCCCAAACCCTTTTTCTCAAGGCATCTGTCCTTCTCAACAAGTAAATCAACAGGGCCTGGTGACCATCTGGGAATGATCCTCCCTTTGTAGCTGTGGATGCTACAAAGTTGTTTCTTTGAGTTTATATACAAGAATGACCCTGGCAGATTCCCATTTCCTCAACTAAGGAGAAAATGATTGAGAAAGGAAGACATCCAGATTTTGGTCAGTGGTGTCACGCTGCTCTCCTTTGTAAGCAGTGATGATACCTTTCCCACAGTTACTGTGAGGAGCAAAGGGGTAGGGAAGCAATCCTTTGATCAGGGGCTTTGGAGGCAAGGAGCAGTCTCGTGGGTACCCTGGGTCTCTGTGGAGCTGCAGCCACACTCTGCTGCCTGGCCTTCTCTTTAGGGTATCCTTTTTTTTTTTTTTTTTTAAAGATTTTATTTATTTATTCATGAAAGACAAACAGAGAGACAGAGACAGACTCAGGCAGAGGGAGAAGCAGGCTCCATGCAGGGAGCTTGACGTGGGACTCGATTCTGGGTCTCCAGGATCACGCCCTGGCCTGAAGGCGGCGCTAAACTGCTGAGCCACTTGGGCTGCCCTACAGTATTCTTAAAGTATTTCACCTTTCCTCTGCCTCATTCTAGCTCACAGAAAGTAATAATAGAGGTATGAGCTTGGTTGTTGAGAGGTCAAGCCCAGGAAGGCTGTGTGAGGGGAGCAGAACTGTTAGGGACAGCCCAGTGTCTCCCCCAAGCAGAGGGCCCCATTCTACTGCTGCTTTCCAGATGCTCACCTGGATCTAGGAAGGCAGCCAGGCTCCTGAGCAAGGATGATTCACTGCTGTCATGACTCACCCAACACCTCACTGCCTTGGAAACTGACCGGGCTAAGGGAGAACTGCTGGATGCTAGTTGCTGGGGACTCAGGCCACCGTCAGTGTACTCCTGCCAGAGCCAAGGCATGCAGGCAAACGGTTCCTGAGCCACTGCAGATCACCTTACACATAGCCATCCAGAGGCAGGGACATCTGGACTACTGTCTCAGAGATTAAATGACCACCTAAGCTGGAAGTGGTGCCTGGAAGTTTAGGACAGACCTCAGCAGCCAGGTCTCATACCATGCACCAGCAAGGGAGAGCTCCTGGGGTAGAGTAGACCTGCTGGACTGGGTTGGTTGGTGGAGGAAAGGGCTCAGGGAGTCCTAGGTTCTCAGGGGTGGCAGCCTGTAGATGAAATGGGGTAGTCATGGCACCTTGGGGTTCAGACATGGGTAAGTCATGCTAAGTTCTACAGGTCACCAGGTGAGAAGCTGTCCTGAGGGAAAGGAGGACCCCACATGAAAAGAGCAGACACACCTTTCAGAAGCAATGTTTCTTTCCTCTTCACTGAGGCAGTAGAGGGCACAAGGTGACAACACACTGCCATGGAGAGACATGGGCAAGAGTCCTGGCTCAGTAAACCACTCAAAGGATAGCTAAGGAGTCTGCCCACAGTGAGTGTCCTGTTTCACACCTGTGACAGCCCCAACAGTGACAATGGCTGAGTTCAGCAGACACTTTGTGTGTACTGCCTGTGAGGTCAGCAGGGACAGCACTCTAAAGATAAACAAATACGGGGCTTGCAGAGGGTGCACCAAGGTCATAGATACAATGACTGACACATGCTGCTGTGGCTTCTAAGCTCACCCTAAACCACTGCCCCATCTGCTCTCCTGTCTTTAAAACCACAAGGCACAGGCAGAAAAGAGCAGGAGGTGGGCTGAGGAGGCCCGCTGTCCGAAATCACTACAGCGGAGCCTGCAGGACCCCAGTGCCTGGGTGGGGGCACCACATGCATCTCTGAGAATGTGGGACAAAGCCCAGGGAGTCAAATGGTACACAGTCTTTGGTTAATAAGAATGAGTTAAAAAAGTATCACATTTTGTATGTATTTCATAACCTCCACCTGAGAGATCTACAGTGCTTAGAAGAAACTGATTCTGGATATTCCAACAAAATACACAAGATGCAAATTCTGGGATCCTAATACCTACATAGTAACGAGTCTATGGGCAGAAAATCAGAGAAGGATATGCCAATGTGTGCCAAAGAGTTCATGTGAAATAATATCATACCCTAGCATTGAACTTCCCCCACTCATGCCCAAATATTCAATGGAATTCAGGGATGGTTTTCCCAATGTTGATGAAAATTCACTCCAAATGCATACACAGCAAAGCCAGAAGAAAAGCCCCAGGGGCTGGACAGTATCATTGCTTTCACATGACGCATGCAAAGGGAGGCCCAGGGGTAAAAGAACTGAGAACACAGGGCCCCAAAAAGAGAAATGGCCTTCTAAAACTTTGATTCTTGCCCAGGCCTCTCTAGCAATGAGATGTTTCAGGAAGAGGGTGAAACAGTAGGGATGTCAACAAACAGTGCAGGTGCTAACAGACTGCACACACACACAGCATGGCCGTCTGTGTTGCTGGCACCTCTGCTGGACGTGGTTTCCTTTCACACACAGGGAGTCTCTTCACCTATCATAACCAGTAACATCATCTGTTGCTATTTTTGTTTTTTTCTTGTTAAAATCAGCAGAATATAGCCGTGGCTATTCCCCAAAGCTTTCTCTCTTCCTGGAGAGGCCACCTGGAATCTTCCTAAGGTGGGCTGCAGTCGGCCTTCAACTATCAAGTGCTGACCTGCAGGGGACCTGCAGCCTCACAGTGGCCAGCCCCTTGTGCAACCTCCCCAAACCCATCCTCTCAGCTGTAAGCAAATGCCACCTCACTCCTATGACCTGTGTAGCACCCTCCACTTAAGGAGAAGCTGTGGGCCCGAATATCAGGATAATCCCAAGTTCTTATGAAAGATACCAAGGGACATTTGAATATTCACAAAGGATGCCACTGCCTTCCCCAGGACACTGGGCCTGCACTCAGAGAGACCCATCCACCTACTGCCCCATCATGCATTCTCCTCCTCTGCTCTTACTGGAGCTAACCTACAAGCACAGGCCCCAGGAGGCCCCAAACCATCTGGCTGTGGCATCTGTGGGAAAGGCCCATTGTGCCGTGGTGTTTCATTTTGGTGTCAACCTTGGAGGTGGATGTTATTGGTTTCTATGCCCAAGAGAAGGCTGCTTTCCAAATCTGATGATTCAGGTTTAAGGAATGGAAGATATGGAACAATGGCCTCAATCCAAAACCCTGTTTCCTCAGTATTATTATCTTGCTAGCAGATGGGATCATCACCTATAGGTTGGCTTGTGGGATTGAACTACTGCAGACTGATGTAATGCGTGTCACTGACTAATCTGCAGATTGTGAAGTCATCAAGGCATTAGCTTACAGAGGCTGTGGGTACCGCTTGGGAGACCCAGGTCACAAAGCAAGACAAGCTGGACTTCTAGCAGGAAAGCTGAGACAGTAGGATATGATGTTGTGGCCAGGATTGTGGAGCACAGCTCTCAGAGATGGCCCTTCAAGTGAACTGTCCCTTCAGCCATCTAGAACTGGTATCCTACAGTAGGAGATCTTGAACCTGGTTGCTTATCAGAATCCCACAGGTTTGTTACAAAGGAGATTCTTGGGCCAACGCCTGGAGATTTTACTGCAGGAGCTGACTTTTCAAAAGCTCACGGGTGATTCTAAGGTATAGACATGCCCAGCCTGGGGATAGCTGCCATGCCAAAGAATATCACACAAGAGGAGATGCCTCTGAGCTACAGGCCACTGATGGCCACAGGACCCACCTTGGACCACAAGATTCCTGCTGGCTTTGGGCGTTCACACCCTGTGGCAATGACTCTTGTCGGAGTGAGAATGTAGTCCACTGTTAGGTCATGGTCTTCAAGCAGCGTTTCAGGTATGTCGATGACCTGGTCAAACAGAAGTGGGTGAGGGAGTTGACAGGGAATGTGGCTCCTGTGCTCACTGCACAGTAGCAGCATGGTGCTCACCAGACCCATGGGGATAAGGCCTCACTACCAAACATCCAGTTGCAGCTGATCACTACCACTCACAATAGTCGTGGAGTGAAGGCAGAAACCAGTCTGTCTCTATGCATCTGTCTCCTTCCCTCCCTGCCCAATTTCTCAGAGGGGTGTAGCAGTGGCTCTGTTTGGCCCATTCATGGGCAGCACCTGGCAGTCGTGGACGATGGTGACCACAGGCGTCCCCTGGCTGACTGCTCCCATCGACACCATCATGGCATATTCCAGATCAGCATAACCTTCTCCCTTCCCAATTCTCCAGCCTAAGAGACATGCAGAGTGTCAGTATCTCAGGAGGAAATGTTTCATTAGGTTGTGGTGGAAGCAGACATTTGGACTTAATATCCCTGGCCCCTCCTTAGAAACTTCCACGGTGAGCCCACAGGCAACCCTCAACAGTGGGGTTCAGGGGCATGCCGACATTGCACACGTACAGGAGTCAGCACACAGTGATGTGAAGCTTGAGGTTTTTTTTTTTTAATGTGTTATGAAAGGAAACAGAACCAGTGTTTACATGAGAAGAACTCACATTTAAAAGTAATGAAAGAGTAGTTTTTAAAAAAGACTTAACACAAACTGCTACTAAAACCAAAATCTGTTTGATCGATTTCTCTTGGAGAGGAGATAAAATTAAAACCAGGGATACATGATTTAAAATGATATCACTTTGTCTTCTGAAAGCCTGGCAGTCCGTGGAGGAGGGTCTTAGGTGGGACTCTTGGAAGGCTTAGCTGAAGTGGCAGAGAGTTTCTTAGCAGGTGAGAAGGCAGCCAGACAAGAAACATGACAATGCCTCTGGCTCCTGTCATCAGGGAGCCTGTGATGCTACAGAAATTCTAACTTCTGCTTAACATTAGCATCAGCATTCTCACCAAGAAAAATCACTGCCCATGTGTCCTTCTGAGATTCTCATCTATCATGCTTTTACAATTACCAACCTCCAACCATACAAGCAAATAAACAGGAGAAAGTGCAGGGGAGAAACAGCAAAGCACAGAACGGTCCACAGAGACAGGCAGGAAAGCAGCAAGCATGAGCAATGACCACCTATCCTCATTACTAAAGGCCGATCAGACAGCACATGAACCACCACTGTTCACTACTGGATTGGTAAACATGGAAGTTTGGGGATTCTAGATATTTACAAGGGAGTAGGGAGAGAGGCGAGGTGTGTGGTGTTAGAGATGGGAGGTAGGCAACCTTTCTGGTGGGCTACTTGGCAACAGGCACCAGGAGTTCAAGTTCACCCTTCTGTTCAGCAATTCCTCTGTTAAAGTTATCCCATGGATGGCCCTCAAAGGCATAAAGAAACTCTATTACAAGACCACAACTCATTTTAGTGTGATCTCTAAGAGAAAAGCCAAAACCAAACCCTGGTGGCACCTCAAGTGCCCACCAGTCTTCGTGGATGCGCAAAGACCCAGCCAGACAACATCTAGCAGGGCACAAAGTATTGTATGTGCTGCTGCCCCTCCTGGAAAAACAGAACCAGGACAAACATAACTGCACATAGAATGTAGGACATGTGTGGACTCACAGGCATAAGGAACCACTGACAGTGGGCATCTGGGAAGAGCACAGGCGGTATTTCCTGCGCTATTCCAATTTCCTACATGTGTGCACGGCAACTGCTGTTGTGTTAGTCGGGGGTTAGCTGAATGATGACATTTACAGAACACTGCTTTCTTCCTTATACACCCAAGCTAAGAAAGAAAACTCCTGATTTTTTAAAAAGACCTCTGTTAATTTCCCATTGCCAAAAAAAGTATAGCTCCATCCCGTCCTCTGACCTTATAGCCTCTGGAAAGCCAATGCCAACCTCCTGGATGGCCATGCTATGTGAACACACTGCTGCTTCTGCCCCAAAGTCCTCTTCTGTTTCATTTGTCTCCAGAACACCCAGCATGTAAACACCAGCCCTGAGGTCACTTCTGAGACATTGCCCTGCTCAGGGCCCAAGGGTGGCTCTTCTGATTCCAACCAATGTCAGTGCTGACTTCTGTATGTAGCACTGAGCACAACATAACACTGTTAAGCTGCTGTGTCTGCTCTTCTGGCTCACCATGGGCCCAAGACAGAGATCACCCAGTGCCAGCCTGACCCTTGGCCCACCCGGCACCCAGAAAAACATGTGTTCATGGGAACCCATTCCTGATGACACAGATGAAGCACTGTAACTGGAAATACAGAGAAAGCAAAGAAGCTCTACAATGTCTCACATACTAGCACAGAGCAAGAGCTGGAAAACATCTTCAATTCCAGATAAAGATACGAAAGGCCAACGTTTAAAAACATGACACTCAGGGTTTGGAATGAATGATTTAGAGCATCTCTCACCAACTATTTGTTGGAAACCTCTCTTAAAGGAAAAACTTGGCTTTGGCTGATTAATTTCCAAAGGAAGAGTTTTAAGGACGGGCCTCTTAGGACAGTCTCTTTTTTCCTCTTGGAAGGGAAAGAGGAGAAAGAACACTTTCTCAGCAGGGGGCCCAAACCACGCTGTGCAGGTGCAAGTCTGTGACAGTCTGACCTCCCCACTGGAACTCACTGAGCCTGTGGCAGTATAATCAGCAGTATAACCAGATCGTCTTCAAAGAGTGTTGAGCCAGGCCCAGGGTAGAGCAGTAGAAGGGGAAGAGGCCCCAGGGGAACCACAGGGGCCCAAGTCCTGCAGGCAGCTTGGCAGAGGGCAGAGAGCAGACAGCAACATGGGACACCCTCCCCACCACCTGCCTGAATGGCACAGCACCAGGCCTCTCCAGGAAGGCTCGGGACACCCTGTTGCCCAGAGGCCGCTGCTTCCTAACAGAAACAAGGTTAGCATCTAATGTTTTTCCATTCACTGGAGGTTCTCCAAAACCAACTATTTACTGACATACTACAAATAAATCCAGTTCCAGGTAGCTTAAGAATTGAGGAACTATCTTTCACCACCTGAAGAGAGATGATCTCACTTTATTTTTTCTGCTAAGAAAAATGAAAATACTGTGAAGGTATTGAGTGTGAGGAACTGAGTTAATTCTTCAAAATGATTAAGAGATGCAGTGGTTTCAGACGACAGATGTGTCCAGAAAACTGAAATTACTTACCACCAATGTCTGAAACAGGAAAGATAGCAGAATGTCAAGCTGAAGATCACATCTAAGAGTTTCTGATCTTAATCTTACCTTTTTCAGAGACAGCAACGGACCCCACCACAACTAAGTCCACAAGGACCTTGGAATCCAAGCCCACAGGAGTACTGTAGTTCCTCACACCCTGTGAACACAGACATGGGCCTGAATGCTTCCTGGGCAGTGAGTGGCTGCCCCACCTCACATTTCAGAGGTAAGAAGCGCTCAAAAGGTCTGAATTAACCTCCTGTAGGAGGCAAACTATGCCCTATAACAAACATGCATCGTGTAAGTGGCATTTTAGGAAAATCATGGTTCAGAAACCATCTTAGGATAATTTCCCACAATTTCTTCCCCAGGAAAGATGCCACTTGGAACTGACGGCAGACACATCAGATGTTAATTTCACAATAATGAACACATCATTTCTTCCCATGAGGCTGAAGAGCACAGTGATTAGAACACAGGCTCAGGAGTCACAAAGAACCGGGTCCAGATCCCTCTTAGCCCTCAAGAGGAGGAAGCTGACCTTCAGTTTCTTCACTTCTTTTATCTATCTATCATTATTTTTTTTTCTAGTTTCTTCACTTCTAAGGCAGAGGTGCCACCACTGCCTTGTCGGACTGGTGCTGGAGTAGAAGGAGATCATGGAGGTAGTGCATTTAGCACATAAGACATGGTCAGTAAATGTGTGGGACAAACTGATTATACATGAAATACTGGGGCCATTACCTTCAGGTGTAGCATCTTCACTTCTGAAACATAACTTGTTCAACCAAAACCCACAAGTACACTATATATGTTTATGTTAATGGAGGCTTGTAATTAGAGTTGGGAGGCTCATATGGTTATGAGTCTCAGATAACAAGGGCTACGGGGTCAATCTTAGAGCCAAATTAAGACCCTGCACAGACCAGTGTCTAGCAATGGAGGGTCACTGTATGTGGTACTGTACCTCATCTACAAATACATGATAAGTCGCTTATGGGATCAGTACAGGGGGTTGCTTTGGGGCCTCTCAGCAGTCAGACCACAATCACCAGCCCACCGTGCCCCCACGGTGGGAAGGCCTGCTTTTCTTAACCTCACAATGGCCATGGAAGCTGGCATCTCACACCCCCAGCCCACATCTTCAACCCTGTTTTAATGGGCTTGGTGGCTGGCAGCCTTGGTGAGCAGCCTGTGTTGAAACTCTGTCCATAAGACTTCCTCCTGGCTCCCTCGGTCAGCTTTACCTGCTCTGTTGATCAGAGTGTGAGCAACCAGGAGTCTCCCTAATTCTCCAAAGTCCCATTTGATTCAACAAAAACTCAGCTGACAAACCTGTGTGCCCATACAGGTGGTTACTAGAAGACTCTCAAGTTAGAGAATAAACACAAAGGCACCGACATTTCACAGGTGGCTGGGACGTGCTAGTGGCAGAGGCAGTAAGGGACAAATTCAGAGACTTAGCTGCCAAAAAGTAAGACCACATCTGAGTCTCTTACTGTATCATGACCTGTACCTGCAAACAGATGTGGCCTAAGATCCTCTCACCCTGTGCCATTAAAAAAAAAAAAAAAAAAAAAAAAGGTTGGCGGAGAGGCGGGGGGAATGTCCTTTGCAGGTTCTGGTGTGTCATATGTTAACAGAGCCTGAACTCTGCTGCTCAATCTCTAGTGAAGTTGAGTCAAGAGAGCTGGTCGGGTTCTACCCTGGCCCAGCCACTTTCAGGGGCACGTGTAAGAGACCCAGCCACTGTTGGTGTGTCACAGGGAATTCCTGTCAACAAACAACGTGGTGGCCACCTTTCAGAGGGGCGGGGATGCTGTATGGGCGACACAAACCACTACACCCACCAAAGGCCCTGTGATGGACCCTCAGATATATCTGACCTAGACCTCAACCCCAGGAAGGGAACTGCTGGTACAGTCCCAAACCTACGACTTCTGAATTGCTGATCATAGGCCCTGCTGGCTCTGGGAAATGCGAGCTCACACCTGTGGCCCATGTTTGCCAACTGCAGATGATCATACACTTTGCATTTCTGAACACTGACCAGAACCAAGACTATCTCTTATTTTTCTACTTTTCCCTTTGCACTTTTTTTTACACATATTTTATTCTTACTTTGTTATGTATACTTTCATAAGCTGTATCAAATTCTATTTTTAGAATAACGTTATCAGTAAGTAACAACAAGCATTCAATTTTAAATTCTACTTTTAAATTTAAGGGGCAAATTTTTTTTTTTTATAAAGGAGTATCTTGAAGCCCTATTTTTTATTCCCAATAGATTAGGAATCAAATGACTGGGGATCTATTCTAGGACTCTGAAAAAAGTCACCAAATTCTATTTCTTTATCTGCAAAACACAATACAAATCCCACTACAGGGCACCCCAATGTAATATTTATACACTTCGGTTTTACTACATTGTGTGACACACTCAAAAAAAAACTGTATCACTGAATTACTAAAGCCATTATTCAGAACTGGTGAGGCAGCTTCCAATCCAAGTATTTTGGAAATTCCTCCAAGTCTCCAATTGCTCTGGGAGCACTTAAGAAAACCCTATGGGCCACCGGACTATGACACAAGTTAACAACAGAAGGTGCCGAAGCACAAGAGAACTTGTTTTCTCTTCATTTTTTTTTTCTCTTCATTTTTAATAGAGAATTTACAATCCGCCAACTTGGTGCAAAGGAGAAAACAGAGTGACTCAAATGGAATAAATGTGTCCAAGGTTTTTCTACTTCGTGCCTTTACTGACAGGATTGCTGAATACTTTCCCATCTCTACTCATTCGGCTTTGTGAAAAATTAATTACAATTTTGTGGTATATTTTATGCATTCTAACACACCAGAAGTCTCGGCTGAGAACAACGCTCTCCTTGTGGATGACGCTGCCTCCTGCACTTACCTGGGAGGTGGCACATTTTCTCAGGATGTCTTTAGTTGCCCCAGGAGGTGGAGTGATCTTATTGAATAACCCTGTTCTCAGTCGTGGTGTTGGGACCAACAATGTTTTTTTGCTCTTCAAAAAGAAAATCAATTACAAAATTAAACACAGGAAATTTCTTGTGTTTCTAACATTTCAGGAACAAGTTACTATTACTGGCATCTTTTGTGTGTGTCAAGGAAAGGACTTGTTTGCAAACTCAACTAAATAATGCATAGTGGTCAATCTCATGCAGGGCCACTACTCTACCTCACTTAGGATGAAGAGGTAGTGTGTCGTCAAACTCCTGAATTCTAGTTTACTTGGCACTCAAAATCACTACCAATACAAAAGGACAATGTAAACCCAAATAAAGGTATGCTCTCACAAGAATTCCAACCAGGACTTTCCTGTGACTTCCCTTCCCAGAATCATGCACTGTAGTTACAATGCTTTCTTTCTCTCTCTTTTTTTTAAAGATTTTATTTATTTACTCATGAGAGACAGAGAGAGAGAGAGAGAGAGAGAGAGGCAGAGACACAGGCAGAGGGAGAAGCAGGCCCCATGCAGGGAGCCCGACGTGGGACCCGATCCCGGGTCTCCAGGATTGCGCCCTAGGACAAAGGCAGGCGCCAAACCGCTGCGGGCTTTCATTTGAAACCTGCATTACATGGTCTCAAGCCTTCATAACCAGTCTGCTATTCAACAGGGTCCAATCTCAGAGAGTAGTACTCATTATAATCGGTATTTGGTATTGACCTGAGCCCATAGCCCCTTTTCTTCTATTTAGTTTCTGAACACCTTGTTGTGAGTCCCAGAGCAGAGATTCACAAAGTTGCGGGCCTCTAGCCAGCAGATGCAGGCTCTGGGCACCTGTAAGAAACGACCAGAAGCTTGAGGGCAGACATGGCAATCTGCTTTCACGAGCCTCCCAGTTGATTCTGATGCCCAGGAAAAGTTCCAGAAGCACTGCCATAGGCATCTCTGCAGAGTATGCCAGGGCAGGCCATGAGGCAATCATAAAATTTATAAAATCTTCAGTGTAAAAAGAGTATATTTTAGTTTTTGTATAGGAGATGACAGCCTGAGACCAACAGGAGATCTGTAAAATCACGGGTTGGCTCACCTAAAACCATGACAGAAAAAATACTTCCAACACAAGTCATGACCATGTGCTCTTTTCCTTCTGAAAGAGGTTTGGGTTCATTAGGAGTCTGAAGATTCTGGTGTACTGTGCGTTATGCTAGTTGCTCCCTCTTTTCTGGAAACTGCTTATTCCCTAGCTCAGGGGCTCTCAACTACTTGTACTTTAGAATCACCTGGGGAGTGGGAGTGCAGATCCACTCAGAGCAACTGATTCAGGACTTGATATTGGCAACACATAGTTTTCAAAGCTCCCTGGATGGTTCTAACATGCATCCAGAGTTGCCAGATGCTGGCCTGGCCAGTGGTTCTCAAGGCACCATCAGAGTGTTTATTAAAAACAGATTCTAGAAACCAATTGAAGGTCTGAGGTTGAGCCAGGCAAGTCCCCAGGCATGGACTGTGGCCATGTGCATCACCATTCTTGCCTACCCTTAGGTGGTGCTATGGAGCATGCAGGTTTACATGCTTGCCAGGTGATTCTTAAACCACTAAAGTTTCCAGAAACACCAAGGAGCCTGTAGCCCTAAAGTACAGGGAACCTATGTGTCTTTTTCACTATTATATCCTTGTGCCCAGCAGAGAGTCTGGAACACAGTAGATTCTCAAAGTTTGGCTTTCTTTCCCCTGAATAAACAAAGAGGCAGTGAGGACCCTGCTATTCCATCCTGCTGCCTGGCTGCACTCCTCCTATAGGATGTCTTGACTAATCTCCAACACACTCATGGCTTTGATTTTGTGCTCTGATGGGTAGACAGGTTAAGAACCTCATACACATAGAGAGCTGGCTCTGGAATCACAGTGGAGATCAGAATTCCAGCTCCATTATTACCAAATAGGGGACTTCATCAAGTCACTTGACCTCTCCGTATCTAGCTTATTCCATGTCATATGAATAGAGATCACCCCTACTGGCTGAATTAAATGAGGTGATACAATACAGTGTTTAGATCGAGCTTTGTCCTCACACAAGGCAACCACTCACGTCAGGCCCTTCTTGCTGCTATTATTCCCTCTAGTTCATTAAAGTGAATTATTGAATGGGAACATACAGCTGGCAAGAAAGAATGCTTCCAGGAAGGCCTAAATGGGAGGCTCCTCTTGGGGCTGAACTGCAAACAGCAAACAAAATGGTCCCCTACACGTGACCCTTGAAAGAACCAGGAAGATCCCTATACCCTCCTTGTTCCCTATAAAATAACTTTCTGGCATTCCCTTCTCCACGCAGGGCTGCAAGGTGTGCTGCATGACTGAGGCCTCACAGGAGCTGTGGGAGAGCTGAGTCACCACACAAGGTATGGTCACTTAAGGACGAATTCCAAAGATCTGGATTCACATTATCAACAGTAAGTTGTCACAGCAAAACAGCAGCAGTTGTTATGTTAAATCAGTGTTGGCGTTTGGATGTTATTGCTCTGTTTTGTCTATATTTAACTTAACAGGTTTATTTTGGTTTTACAGTTGCACAAGAGCTATGAACATTTAAATTTATACCAAGTTTTCTATTAATACTTATTAAATTAAGTTAATGAATTTAAAGCAACCCTGGGAGAAAAAAAATAAAGCAAACCTAGGGAAAATTTTTTTTCTTGAACAAGGGCCTATATACGTAAATTAAGAAACACTGTTCTGATTTATAGATTTTTGGAGACGCCATCAGATTTCTTACAGTTACCAAGTGTCAAAGAATTATAAAAGTAGCAGAAGGAAATAAATATAACCTTTCCTTTCTGATGAAGCACATAGTATGCCTCGAGGTCATCATCTTGAACGTGCTTTATCTTTGAATTTAGGAATATTCATGTTTTTTGACAAACAAATGAAAGATTTCTGGACTGTTTCTGGGGGGGGAAAAAAAACTCCTCCAAGGATATGTTCTGTATCGGAGGAAGTCAGAAGTACCATCTTTCTAAATATCTGAGTGGCACACATTTGCCAGCCACTTGGAGAATGCATTTTATTATGGCCAGGGCTCTGGCTCAGGAAAATACGATTACCTGCAACATCAGCAGCCGAACACCTTCCAGCGGTTTATCGGGGTCCACTTTAACTTCCTGCGTTCTGGTAAAAACTTCTAGGTCTCTGATGTTTTGGCAAGCCAGATAAGAGCCCTAGTTAGACAAACAGAGTTGCACTTACGTCGAGGACGAAGAAACGAGCATTTTTCTGGGAGCATCAGGATTGACTTTAATGGTTCTGGCCATTTTGAACGCCTGCAAGCGTGGGAAGTGCTCAGCAGCACAGGAAGCACCCTGTTTTCAAATGCAATTGCACATTACTGACAGGACAGCATGACCCTGGACCTACTGCATGGGTGAGCAGATTGGCTTAGCATCTCTCCCACACAAATGGGGTGCACTACTTCTGAGACAAGATCTAACAGTCACCCAAAGAAGTCTGGGAACGCAGTCAGGGTTAAAAGCTGCTGAGAAGGCTGGCCCCAATTTATTTTTAACCAAAATAAAACATATATTCCAAAAAGGTGTAGAAATCATGAGTGTATAGTTTGATAATTTTCACAAAATGAACAAATTTGTGTAATAACTGCCTAAATCAAGACTATATTACCACTAACCAGGAATTCCCATCCCTCTCCAAGATGGTTCCTTTTTAAACATTTTTTTTTTTTTTTTACTGATTCTGTGCATCTTTCTCTTTTTCCTATATTTCATGTACATTTCTCTCCCTGGGATAGCAAGCACTAAAGCAAAAAACAAAGTAACAAAAAGCATACAAAAGGAAGAGTTTTTCAAGGGTACAAGATAGCCTTGGAGCCAGCTCAGCTGAGGACCAGAGAAGGGCAGGAGCTTGCTTCTAAGAAGCCAGGGGTGGGGAGAGAAAGTTCAGCCTTTGATGGCAAGTAAACAGGGCTACACATCCTTTGGATCTGACAGAGCAATCAGTATATTTTTAAAAAGTACTTTGTTTTCCTTGTGGAAAACACACACTGAAATTATGAGCTGTGTTTGCTCATTCAAGCAAACTTGTTTCCTTTGAATAGTATCATAAACAGATATCTTTATCTTCTATCCTGAACGTGGGGAAACTGAGGCCTAGAATCATCATCCCTCAGGGACCAATGAGGCCTTCCTCTTAAAAGGTGCTGGCCGGGACCCGCTCTGAAAGGGCATCACTCCCTGCTGTTCTTAGGGAGCCAATTTTGAGAAAAGGCACCACAACAATAACATGCTTCCAACCAGGACAAATATGTCAAGTGGTCAACAGTAGCTGTAGCACTCCTCACCCAAAGACATGACCAAACCACTAACTGTGCACGGACAGGTAAGAGGCCATGAGAGTGAAGGTTAAGGAACACAGATGAGGGACATTTCAAAACACAAATGACACCCAGGCCAGTGGCGTGGAATCTGCACCACTACTCAGTATTCACCCAACCCGGATCCACCATGAAGCAGGACAATAGCTGCATTATTTAGCTGCAGTAACTCTCTTATTTAGAAATATCCTGTTTTCCTTTTGTATGCTCCAGGAATGCCTCAGTACCTTGAAGTTGGGAATCCTGTGATGAACAGGCCGGGGAAAATCAGCTAAATTTTGTGATTCCATGTAGTCCCAAATCTGTTGACGAATGTCCTGTTTGGAAACACCTACGGCAACAAAGGGTGGGACTGGTTAATGTGGCAGAGAGGAGTCCCACCACACGTGAGGCTGGGTGCCTGCTCCAGCTACACCTCAGGACTCCTTCACGCCAGACCAATCCAGGGCTTCTCATCTACAGCGAAAAATCAGGGTTAGTGATCAACTCACAACAAACTGCTAAAGTCCAAAAACTGAGTAAATTAAAGGCAATCCAGGTATTTTAACATAGCTCTACTGAGCCGTAGCAGCGGCAGAATAAAATACAGCCCAAGCCATGTACCCAACCTTTCCTCAGGTCCTTACCTGGAAACGCACATCCTGTCAGTTAAGGCACTGCAATTCTCAGTCTAACTAGTTTTGACATAGCTATGATTAGTACACTCAGGCTGTACACCCAGAAAGCTTGCCTTAGGTCTAAGGGCTTTGTAAACCACCTATTATTTTGGATTACCAATTATGATGCGCTTTACTAGTATAGCAATTTCTTATTCTTATACCCAACTTTGGAAGTGCCGTTTTTGGCAACAAATATTTTTTAATTATCTGACTGAAGCAGTTTTAATAAAATTTGCATTAACCATGTGCTCCTCTTCAAGTGGAGAACTATAAAAAAGTTTCCCATTAGGTAGAAAAAAATAAAACCACCACCTTCATATATATTTAAAATATTTGCTGAATTTTCATTTTTGTTAGTCCAAAATTATATCCTTGTACTTGTATAAAAGTCTGTTTCAAATCACTTTACCTACAACAATCTGTCCTGTGGCCAGCACTGCGAATCATGAGGCCATCTCATTCGCTGGTAAACTCTCAACACAAACCTGCTCTAATACCAGTGAAGAGGAGTGCCACCTACCCTGTGCCATCTGAAAGTCACCGCAGGGATACACATAAACAGTGCTTAGGGAATGTGCATTTTCAAAGATGGCAGTGGAAGCCGACCTCTTCTTTTCAGAGAACTTAGTGTTCAATACAGCTGTATCTGAAGCTCTACATGTACTGTGTGTGGATGGGGTACCTCCCATCACTTGGGTAGGAAGGAGGGGCATGGATAACTTCACAGGTCCTCAGTCTCCCTTAAATGAGTGTAGGATACTGAAAAGTGACCCAAGGGAGCGGCCCAGGGCCAGAGACAGCTGGGAGTCACCTGGGTAGGTGGGGGCGGGGTAGGCCTGGCAGCTGCCTTCTCACCAGACATTTCTGACTTGGCTTTGAATCATGACAACAATAATGTTCCAAAAGCTCATTTTTCATAAACGGACTCTGAAAACATGCAAAGGGAACCGAACTATAACTGACAAGCCTCTCTCCTTGCTGCCTGCTGGGCACCAGCTTCCCTCCTCCAGGGCAATGGGTGCACCCTTTTTTCCTCATGAACTCTTCCCCAGGTACCTCTGGCCCCACAGAAGACACTTCCCGTCATGTCCTTTCCCTAAGGTGGCCCACTGCACAGCACACACTGCCCTGCACATTAGTGTTCTTGCCAGACATCTCGCACATCAGCCCACGTGGTATACAAGAGTGCCTCCATCCTTTTGTGAAGCTGCATGGTATTCTACTGTGGGGACAGGCCGAGGTTTACCCAGGCAGTCCCCTTCTGAAGGGCAACAGGTGGTTTCCAAACTTGTTACCAACCAGCAGTTTGCTGTTCTCCACCTATCCCCACTGCTCATCTTACTGCAACTTAACCCACCGCCTGCCGTTCTAAGTAAGGCATAAGGGCCAGAGTTAAAGGCTTCCATTGCCTCTGCCCTCTGGGTAGGTCTAGATCTCCTCAGCGTGGCATGCAGCCCAGTCCCAGAGCCTCTTGGAGCCCACAGCAACCACCACTGGTGCCTCCTGCCCCTAGGTGTGCTTCCAAACCACTCCAGAAATCAAAACTGCAGATTTGGGTGTGCTTAGAGGACACCCATCTGTAAGATGGAACCTGAATAGGCCCAGGCAGGCAGTTTCCAGCGCCTGGCTTGTTCTTTCCCGCTGGGAGCTTTGCACTGAAGGTGTGTGCTAGCAAGTCCGCTCAGCAATCTGTCCCTTCCACAAACCCTCATTCTTCAAGGCTCAGCTTCAGCACCACCTCTGGGAAACACTCCCTGTTCTGCTCCACTGCCTGGGAATCCCTCTGTCACAGGGTCACAAGGAGCGTGGGCCTGCCACACCCTGATGCCCACGTCAGCTTCATCTTCCATTACTCCTCCCCGTGGATTCACAATGTGGCTCAAGCATGCTGTCCCTGCTTCCACACACCTGCCCACCTCTCTCTGCCTTTCAGACCTTGGTACCTCCTCTCTCTCTCCAGCTCTGCCTGACACACGACATCCCCCCTGCACGTATTTTGAGGGCCGGGTCCCAGGCAGATGTCTCCTTTAGGAACCCAGGGGACCCTGCTTTTCTCAAACACAATTATGTCGCTAGAACTATACGGGTATCACCTTGATTGCTTTCGCTAATAACCCACAGGTGCTACAATATTCCCAACACTGTGCAGGATACTGGGGGCGGGGGGGGGGGACACACACACAAGATATGCAAGAAATTGTGACGCTCGCCCTGGAGAGTCAATTAATCACAAACATTCGAGTGGCTCCCGTGTAGAACGCAATGTGCTCACTGGGAGGAGCAGGGGTGAGGAAAAGGGCAGAGCTTTGTAGAGGCACAAAACATGGGATGCGTCGAAGGTATAGCTGAAGGCGACGTGTATTTGTGTGCAAGGCCTCGACTGCTCCGCAACTGCCTGTTTACCTCCCTCAGCAACGTGCGGGCCCTCGGCGGGTCAGCTGGGTCTCGCCCCCCGCCCTACGCCTGGCACTCGGCAGGCATCGGAATTATCAGCATGTGTGTGTGTGTCTGTGTGCGGGGCTGTTCACGCCCGCACGCTCGCAAGGGCAGAGGAGTATTCATCCGCAGCCGCGCAGCCTGGCTTTACCAGCTGGGCCTGAGCCCCCGGCGTTACCTCTGCCAAGCGATCCCGGCACCGATCGCCAAAGCCCTGTCCGCGGAGGGCGACTTGCCAAAGCCCAGGGGCCACGAAGCCAGCGTTCCCGGTGCCCGCCAGGCGTAGGGAAGCCCTGACGCGGCCCGGCGTTTCCGTTAAGCCGCTCCCGGGCCTGCCGCGCCCCCCGCCGCCGGCCGCGGAGCCCCCGCCGCGCCGTGGGGATGCTGGCGGAGCGCGGACCTCCCCGGGGGCACCGCCAGGCACGGCAGGGGGCCTTGTTTCTCCGCTCCGCGTTAGCTCCACTCCGCTCCAGGGCGCCCCGCGGCCCCCCTCGCCCCCCGCTGGCTGTCGGCGGTCCCCGGCAGCCCCTCCGGGAGGGTCCCCGCCCGCCCGCCCGCCCGCCCGCCCGCGGCTGCTCACCCGTCGGCAGCTCCATCACTACGCAGTCAGCGAGCGACGCCTCCGGAAGCCAAACCCGGCGCGGAGTGACGTCACCCGCTCGCGTGCTCCCTTCGCGCCTGCGCGCTGACCGCGAGGGGGGGCGGTGACGTCGCCGCGGAGGCCTGGTGGGCGCGCATGCGCGTGCGTCTCCGCGGGTGGAGCGCGGGGATGTGCCTGGGGCGCGGAGGGAGGGAGGGAGGCCGGCGGGGTTCCTGGGCTGTCATTTGCTCCTGGAGCGGTTGGGTGTTGCGAGCCTGTTCCCCACCGCGCGTTCGTGAGGTGCTGGGGCTACCGAGGTGAAGAAGCCCCTCGCCTCTTGGAGCCCACTGACCATTGCGACGTACCCCATCTCCTCTTGTGTTTCCCCAGAGGCCGCCCCCTCCGGGAAGCCAGCCTTGATTGCTCCTTCAGGATGCGGTTCCTCTTCCCTGAGGCAGATACCCAAGTGCTCACCCCTGAGTGTGCGTCTCCGTCAGCCGCGGGCACTTTCTCTGGGCGTGGGATGGAGCCCGGCATCCGGCTCTGGACTGGGCGTGGAGGCGGCTTCGGAGTCTCTCTCCCTCTCCCTCCGCCTCCTCCCCCTCCTCCTCCTCCTCCTCCCCTCTCATAAATAAGTAAAATATTTTAAATATAAAATAAAATGTCAGGTTGCTGGAGTGGCATTCACCGCAGGTGGCATGGGGACCAGCCCGGGCGCTGGCTGAGTGCAGAAACCCGCCTGATTTTACCGTGGCCTCTGGAGCTCCTAGGGACTGAAAGAATGTGGTCCTGCCTCTGCTCGCCTCTATCATTCCTTCAACACATGGAGCGTGTGTCAGTATAAGGGCCGGGAGGTGGCTCGGGAGAGGGGCTCAATCGATAGCCCAGTCTGAGCCCTCCTCTCGGGGCCCCACTCCGGCCGGCCGAGAAGGAGGCGCGTTCACGCTTTAGGGGGGGATCGTGTCACCAGTAACCACACTCCACTGAGTGACTGCACACTGGTAGCATGGTACCTCATGCAACGTAAGCCAGCAGGAACCGGCAGCTGCTTTTCCAAATTGCATATCTGATACTTGGTAAGATCCTCAACAGAGCGAGCATTTTACTGCCGGCTTCAAGATATGGGAGATGCGGTCCCGGGTGTCCCAACCATGTATTCCAGCTCCCACAGAACGGATCCTCTATCCTTTGCCTTTATCAGATAGAACATAATCAATGACAGTAAGAAACACTGCTACAAATGTGCCAGGCATGCCAGGCTAAGGGCCTCGGAAATCATACCTGGATATAGTCCTCACAACAACTGTGGGCAGCAAACGTGACCGGCATTCTACGGGAATGCGAGGAAGCAGAGGCTCAAGATGGTAGCAAGCCTTGCCCAGGGGTGCCCAGCTGAGAAAGGGCAGCGCCTGTGCTTAACTGTAAGTATTGCAGCTCCTGGTCTCAGCTCTCCATCCCTAGGTGGTATTCATGGCATTAATACGTAGAGACATTAACATTGCTTTTGTCCTACGCAATGGTGGCCATGTCTTATAGGCTTGCAAAAAGGAGTACAAAGCTTTGCTTTGGACAACAGAAGATTATAAAATAAAATCTCTCAGGGAGGTTGGTGTCTTTTCCCACTCTCAGGAAAACACAATAGATCAATAGATCAGTGCAGAGTATTTATGCAAACGGACCTGTCTCCAGCAGTGGAAATGTGTGTGGGAGTCACTATTAGCCAGCTGTGCTCAGAGTAGCATCCAGGGTGCTACCAACAGTCCAAGTCCCTGAGACGGACAGCCTAGTGCATCCCCCAGAGAGTAACAAGCCACTGAGGACAAACTCCCTCAGTGGCAATTTTAGAAAGCAGGTGGCATTCCCCAGGACATTCCCTCTGGTTCCTTCATTCCTGTGGCCAGATTAGAAGTGCTCTCAAAGCCCGGGCACTTAAAAGAATAAGTAGTTATGAAAGAGAGACCCCCTGGGCAGCCTGCATGGCTCAGTCTGTTGGGTGTCTGCCTTTGGCTCAGGTCATCATCCCAGGGTCCTGGGGTCAAGCCCCACATTGGACTCCCTGCTCAGCCGGGAATCTGCAACTGCTTTTCCTCTCCCTCTGCCTCCCGCCCACTCATGCTCTCTCTAGCTCTCTCACTCGTTATCTTTTTTTCTTATCTTTTTTTATCTTATCTTTCAGATAAATAAATGAAATCTTTAAAAAAAGAAAAAGAAGAAAAGAGAGACCCCTTAGAAGAAATTAGTTGGCTTCCTGTAAAAAGACGTTCTAGAACTTTGACCTAACGGCTTCAGACTCAATCCTATATGTAAATTTGTACGTGGGTCACGTGAGATTTTTAAAAAATAGCCTTAATAGAACCATTTTAGATTCACAGTACAATTGAGTCAAAGGTACGGAGAGCTCCCATACACCACAGCCTCTCCCAGGCTCAACATCCCACACCACAGCAGTACCTTTGTCACCATCACCTCCAACACATCATTATCACCATGGACTGAATGTTTGTATCCCTGCTCCATTCATATGTTGAAGCCTAACGCCCAACGTGGTGGTTTCAGTAGGTGGAATCTTTGGGAGGGGACAGGTCATGAGAGCAGAGCATCCTTAGTGTGATTTGTGCCCTTACGTAGGGGGCTCCAGAGAGCTCCCTCACTCTGCCCCTTCGGCCATGGGAGGACACAGAAAGAAGACGGGCACCGGTGAACCAAGAAGCAGGCTCTTAACAGACACGGAATCTGCCATCACCCTTGATCTTGGCCTTGACAGCCTCCAGAACTGTGAGCTATGGTGTTTTGTTGTAGCAGCCCAACCTGACTGAGGACACCAAAGTGGACCCTCAAAGTCCAGTTTACAGGAGGGGTCGCTCTGGGTGGTGAACATGCTACGGGTTTGGACAAATGTATAACGATGTGTATCGACATTAGAGTATCCCAGAGTGGTCTGTCTCACCGCCCTGAACGTCCTCTGCTGCACCTATTCACGCCCCCCCCCCCAGTCCCTGGCAACCACTGACACTTTACTGCCTCCATACTTGTGCCTTTTCCAGGATGTTGTAGAGTTGGAGTCACACAGGATAGTCTCTCAGATCGCCTTATTTCGCTTAGTTGTATGCATTTGAGGTTCTCCATATCTTTTCAGGGCTTGGTAGTTCTTTTCTTTCTAGTGCTGAACAATATTCCCTTGTCTGGATGGACCACAGTGTTCTTATCCATCACCTCCTGAAGGGCATCTTGGTGGCCCCCAGGGTCTGGCATTGATGAACAAGCTGCCAGGACACGGCGCTTAGGTTCACTTGAGGGTTTTATGGCTTGTCACAGCATTTCCTTGTGAGTTCTCACAACCCCTTCAAACCCGGCTAGGAGGAACACACAAGTAAAAAGGCAAGAGCATGAAGAGCTTGGCCATGGATCTCCAAGATCTGTGACTTTGGGTCATTAACTCCACGTCTCTGGGCTTCTGTTCCCTTTTCTTTAAAATGTGGGGAAGTGATTCCTCCATTAGCGTCGGTGAGAGGACAGAGCATACCCAGCCTGCAGCAAGTATGCTGTCATCGTCCCATAACCATCCTGTTAGGCAGACAAGAGAAGGTGTTGAGAGATCAGGTCCAATGATTCACCCGAGGTGCCGCGGTGCTGACAGCCAGACCTCTCCCCGCGTGTGCTTCTGAGACGCCAACATGTCCAGCCCCTAAACTTTACAGGTACAGACTTAAAATTTTAAATGCCACATTCTGCTTTCTGCTCCCTGCCTTCTCCCTGCATCATATGCACATATGCACACAACTCCTAAAGTGCTAAAATGAAGAAAACCACACAAATAATTCTAGTAATAACAAAGACTGGCTCCTGAGGAGCTAGAAGGTTCCCTCCCCCCTTCAGGCATTCCTCTGTCATCTGGCTCTGCTCCTGAGTTATGTGCCTTCTCCCATCCTGGGATCGGGTGAGGCCATCTGTCAGCACCTGGCATTTCATGGGAGGTTCTACTATGGCAAGATGAAGATGCCTGAGGTGTCACAGTGATGGCTCACTATTCCTGCTGCCACCGCCCAGGTCAAGGGTGTGTCACCATGCTTTAGACTGCAACTGTCTCCTGTCTCCTAATTATATCCATTCTCTGTGTCATCCACCTTTGTCCTCCCCATCCTTCTCCTCTCCCCTTCCTCCCTCCTCTCTTCCTCCTCTCCCTCCTCCTCCCTCTTTCCTCCTTCCTTCCTCCTCCTTCTCCCTTCTCCTTCCCCTCCGTTTTCCCTACTCCTCCCTCCCGCTCCTCCCCTGTCTGCCCTGTTTTCCCTCCTCCCTCTTTTCTCCTCCTCCCTCCCCCTTCTTCTCCCTCCTCCCTCCCTCCTCCTCCCCCTTCCTCCTCATGCTCCTCTGCTTGCCCTCTGAACTGCCCTCCACCCACCAGCACTCCCCCTGCAAATCTTCCAGCTGTGATCTAATGGCTCCCCTTGGCACACACCCCCACCCCAGCAGAGCACACACACTTCTCAGCTGGCTGTCCAGGCCTTGTGGGACCACCAGCTTGCACACTCAGTCTCCTCTCAGCCAAAATTTGTCTCTGTTAGTTTGACTTTGCCCTTCTCTTTCCTGCTTTTGGTGTTTTTCCCCCATCCCAGAAATGCCCCCCTGCACCCCAAATCAGCCTGGTGGCTAGCGGGAGGGAAAGGTGGAGTGCCAAGGAACTCCTCTAACAAAGCGGGGATGGACTTGAAGAGTCATTACTTCAATGCATAAAGAGGACCTGCACGGGGTCTAAACAAACGTCCTTTGGGAGCTGGACAGGCAGAGGGAGGGTGGAGTAGTGCCTGCACAGAGCTCTGGCATCCTCGGGTGAACCCAAATGCTAATTTAAAATATACACACTGTGCTGCAGTTACGCAACAGGAACAACCGGGCGCCACTTGGGTCATGTTTTAAAACGTCCCCTTGCACATGGGAACCAGCCCATTTCTTCTAAGTAAACTTACTACTATCTTCAAACAGAACAGGGAGGCAGAGGATCATGGTCATCCTCACTGAGAAGTAGCAGCAAAGACTGTTTTTTTTTTTTTTCCGAGATATGTGGATA